CCCCACCCCAAAGCGCACATCAAGGTCGGGGTTTCTGGAGGGGTGGGAGAGCTCTGTACCCATGTTTTTTGGGGTCCCGGGAACAGGGGAGGCACTCTCTATCTCCCACCCCAAAGTGCACATCAAGGTCGGGGTTCCCAGGGGGTTGGGAGGGGTGGGAGAGCTCTGTGCCCACATTTTAGGGGGTCCCGGGAGCAGGATGGAGGGACCCTCATACCCCCACCCCAAAACGCACATCACGGTCGGGGTTCCCGGGGGGCCAGGGGGGTGGGGGAGCTTTGTGACAACTTTTTAGGGGGTCCCGGGGACAGGGGAAGGACCCCAGGGTGGAGGGACCCTCTCCCCCACCCCAAAGCGCACATGAAGGTTGGGGGGCCAGGGGGGTGGGGGAGTGCTGTGACAACTTTTTAGGGTGTCTGGGGAGCAGGAGAAGGACCCCACGATGGAGGGACCCTCTCCCCCACCCCAAAGCCACCCCGCTCAGGGGTACCCCCGTGTCCCTGCAGGTGTTTGACCTGCGCCAGTGTCACCGGCAGATGCAGCGGCAGGCGGCCACCGCCCAGGCTGCAGCCACCGCTCAGGCCGCTGCTGTGGCCGGCAGCATCCCCGGGCCTGGCTCGGTGGGTGGCATCGCCCCGGCCATCGGTGAGTGACCACAGGGGTGATGGGACCCCTGTAATGACCATGGGACCCCTGTGATGGCCATGGGACCCCCGTGATGGCCATGGGACCCCCGTGATGACCACGGGACCCCTGTAATGACCATGGGACCCCTGTGATGACCATGGCACCCCTGTGATGACCGTGGGACCCCTGTGATGACCATGGGACCCCCATGATGACCATGGGACCCCCGTGATGACCGTGGGACCCCCATAATGACCATGGGACCCCCGTGATGACCATGGAACCCCCGTGATGACCGTGAGACCCCCATGATGACCATTGGACCCCCGTGATGACCATGGCACCCCTGTGATGGCCATGGGACCCCCGTAATGACCGTGAGACCCCCATAATGACCATGGAACCCCCGTGATGACCATGGGACCCCTGTGATGACCGTTGGACCCCCGTGATGACCATGGGACCCCCATAATGACCATGAGACCCCCATAATGACTGTGGGACCCCCGTGATGACCGTGGGACCCCCGTGATGACCATGGAACCCCTGTAATGACCATGGGACCCCCGTGATGACTGTGGGACCCCTGTGATGACCATGGGACCCCCATAATGACCATGGGACCCCCGTGATGACCATGGAACCCCTGTAATGACCATGGGACCCCTGTGATGACCATGGGACCCCCATAATGACCATGGGACCCCCATAATGACCATGGGACCCCCGTGATGACCATGGAACCCCTGTAATGACCGTGGGAGCCCCGTAATGACCATGGGACCCCTGTAATGACCGTGGGACCCCCGTGATGACCGTGGGACCCTCGTGATGACCGTGGGACCCCTGTGATGACCGTGAGACCCCCGTGATGACCGTGTCCCCCCCTCCCAGGGCTGTCGGTGGCCGCGGGGCTCGGCGTGGACGACCTGCGGCGCCTGTGCCTGGTTAGGCTGAGCTTTGTTAAGGGCTGGGGGCCCGACTATCCCCGGGCCAGCATCACCTGCACACCCTGCTGGATCGAGGTGCACCTCCACCGCGCCCTGCAGCTGCTGGACCACGTCCTGCACGCCCTGCCCGACGCTCACGTCTGAATCCTGCAAGGAACGGCCAAAAAAAAGAGGGGAAAAAAGCCAAAAATGAGGCGAAATGACCAAAAATGTGTCGGTTTAACGGTTATTTAATGGATGGGGTCGGGATCTGTGGCCTGGGAGTAGCGCAGCCCTCGGCGCTGATCTCCGCCTCCTGATTTAACTTTTGTATGAAAGAAAACAAAAAAAAAAAAAAAAAAAAAAAGAAAGAAAAAAAGCCAAAAAAAGGTGAAAGAACCAAAATCATGTTGTTTTACTGTTATTTAATGGATGGGGTTGGAGTTTGCAGCCTGGGTTTGTCATCGCCTTTGACGAACGCTCAGCAGCGCGGTTGTGCCGCCAGATGCGCTGCCAGATGCGTTTCCAGATGTGCGTCCAGATGTTCCCCCCCCCCCCGGACTACATTTCCCGGCAGCCCCCGCGGCGCCCACCGGAAGCGCACGTCCCAGCCCCGCGGACTACATTTCCCGGCAGCCCCCGCGGCGCCCACCGGAAGCGCCCGTCCCAGCCCCGCGGACTACATTTCCCGGCAGCCCCCGCGGAGCCCAAGATGGCGGCGGCGAGCGGCCCCGGGGCGCGGGAGCTGTTCGCTGAGGGGCTCCTGCAGTTCCTGAGGCCCGCCGTGCGACAGCTCGACCGCCACGTCCACAGCGTCAGGTCCGGAGGCCGCGGAGAGGGGCCGGGAGCGGGGAGGGACGGGCCGGGAGCGAGGCGGGGCGCGGCAGGCCCGGGCGGAGAGGCTGAGGGACAGGGAGGGGCGGGAAGGGCGGTTCTGTGGGGTGGCGGTTCTGTGGGGCTGAAGGGCGGTTCTGTGGGGTGAAGGGCGGTTCTGTGGGGCTGAAGGGCGGTTCTGTGGGGTGGAAGGGCGGTTCTGTGGGGCTGAAGAGCGGTTCTGTGGGGTGAAAGGGCAGTTCTGTGGGGCTGAAGGGCGGTTCTATGGGGTGGCAGTTCTGTGGGGCTGAGGGGCGGTTCTGTGGGGTGAAAGGGCAGTTCTGTGGCGCTGAAGGGCGGTTCTGTGGGGTGGAAGGGCGGTTCTGTGGGGCTGAGGGGCGGTTCTGTGGGGCTGAAGGGCGGTTCTGTGGGGCTGAGGGGCGGTTCTGTGGGGCTGAATGGCAGTTTTGTGGGGCTGAATGGCTTTGGGAGCACAGGGGGGATCGGTTTTGGGGATGGGAGACTTTTGGGGTACCTGAGGTGGATAATGCTGAGGGGGATAATGCTGGCCCTGTACTGGGGAGGGGACAGAGGTGGATTTGGGGTGTAAATCCAGGATTTTACCTTTCCCCCCTCACAGGGAGAGCCAGGTGGAGCTGCGGGAACACATCGACAGCTTGGCCACAGGTGAGCCAAACCCGGGGTGCCACCCCTGCCCTGTCCCCCCTGAGCAGGGGGGCTCACCCAAACCCCTCCCCAGAGCTTTGCCGCATCAACGAGGACCAGAAAGTGGCGCTGGACCTCGATCCCTACGTGAAGAAGCTGCTGAACGCCCGGCGGCGCGTGGTGCTGGTCAACAACATCCTGCAGAACGCTCAGGTGAGGGGACACGGGGGGTTTGGGGGTCCCAGAGCCCGAACGCCCGGCGGCGCGTGGTGCTGGTCAACAACATCCTGCAGAACGCTCAGGTGAGGGGACACGGGGGGTTTGGGGGTCCCAGAGCCCCCCCAGGTGCTGACAGGTAACTCATGTTATGTCCAGGTGAGAGGGGACAGGGGTTTTGGGGATCCCAGAGCCCCTCAGGTGACTCGTGCTGTGTCCAGGTGAGGGGGCACAGGGGTTTTGGGGGTCCCAGAGCCCCCCAGATGTTCACAGGTGACCTGTGCCATATCCAGATGAGGGGGCATGGGGGATTTGGGGGTCCCAGAGCCCCCCCAGGTGCTGACAGGTAACTCATGTTATGTCCAGGTGAGGGGGGACAGGGGTTTTGGACGTCCCAGAGCCCTCCAGGTGACTCCTGACATGTCCAGGTGAGGAGGGACAGGGGATTTTGGGGTCCCAGAGCCCCTCCAGGTGTTCACAGGTGACTTTTGCCATGTCTAGGTGAAGGCACAGGGGGTTTTGGGGGTCCCAGAGCCCCTCCAGACGTTCACAGGTGACTTTTGCCATATCCAGGTTGGGGGAAAAGGGGGTTTTGGGGTCCCAGAGCCCCTCCAGATGTTCACAGGTGACTTTTGCCGTGTCCAGGTTGGGGGGACAGGGATTTTGGGGATCCCAGAGCCCCTCCAGACATTCACAGGTGATTTTTGCCGTGTCCAGGAGCGGCTGCGGAGGCTGAACCACAGCGTGGCCAAGGAGACGGTGCGGAGGAGGGCGATGCTGGAGGCCGGGGGCTACCAGCCCAAGTGACCAAGTGACCAGCCAGGGGAACAGGTATCCCCRTTTATCCCAGCTCAGGAACTGGGGGGGATGGCCCCCCATCACCTGCAGCCACGGGAACCCCRAGTCGCGTTCCCAGATTTGTGGGTGCTGGAATAAAAGTGACCGAGAGTCCGTGACGCTGCCACATCCCTGAGGGACATTGGGGACAGCAGAGCCAGGCAGGTGGCACTGCCATGGGCCACCAGGTTGGATTTGGACACTCCCAGGTGGGATTTGGGCTGCCCCAAGTGGGTCCTTCAAGTCGTGGATGCTTCTCCACCCATCTCATTCGCAGGGACACGCTGGAAAGGGGGGACACTTTAATGTGCAACTTAGAAAAACGGGGGACACGGCACGGGGACATGGCAGGGAACAGAGGGACCCTCTGGTGTCCCCTCAGCTGCTGTGGGTGGCACTGGGCTCTCTCTCATTCCTGTGTCTCCATGCTCTCCTCCTCCTCGCCCGCCGCCGGCTCCTCCTGGTTCTCCTCCTCCTCCTCCCCTTCCTTCTTCTCCGGGGGTTTCTCGTACGCCTTCTCCGAGGGTGTCACGATCACCCCGTCCCACGTGGACATCTCGGACGCCAGGTCTGCCCCGAGAGGTGACCCTGGGGACCCTCTGTGGGACCCCAACCCCGTTCCAACCCAAACACCCCCCTGGCCCCACTCACAGCTGGCGTCACCCTCCTGGCCCAGAATTTTCCGGTAACCTCCATGGGAGAGAATACGCACGAGGGTCTGGGCGGTGTAACACACCATGTCCTGGGGATGGGGAGGGGTCAGTGAGGGGACAGGGACCTTTCCTGGTGTCCTCTCCCCTCTGGAGACCCTTCCTCACCTGCTGCTCCAGCGTCATCACCGTGTGCACGCGGAAGTTGCCGCTCTCGCAAGGGTCCGTGATGCCGACCGAGCCGGGCAGGAAGAGCCCGGCCGCCAGGATCTGGAGACAGCGCCTGCACAAGGGACATTTTGGGTTAAAACTGCATCATTCCAGCAAAAACACCACGCAGGAATCACAGGAGCTGGGTTCATCTCCTTGTGAAACCCCTGAGATTTATCAGGAAAATGGAGATGCGGTGGGAATTTGTGAGGGAAGGACCGCCACCGACCTGTAGGCGATGTTGAGAGCCAGCGGCTGCCGGGTGGGGTTGTTCATCACAGCGTAGTGCCCCTGGGGATGGGAGAGAATTAATTAGGGCAGGAATAATGAACAACCCCCACCCGGGATAGGAACCCCAACTCCTGCCGGGATTGGGATTGGTGTCAGCATCCCCCACCAGCAGGTCCAGGATCCACGGCGTGAGCGGCTCGAAGCCGGGAAAGCGAATCCTCAGATCCTTGAGCAGGCGGATGAGAACCTTGACCCTGGAGCAGAGGCAGAGGAGGGTCAGTGCCGTGCTGGGACCGCTCCCGGCGTTCCCGGTAACGAGAATTCGGATCCAGCCTGGGCTCCACGGGCACCGCACTCACGTGGACTGCGAGGCGTTCTCCTCGAACCAGCGCGCGTGCCGGATGGCGGCCAGRGCGCTCTGCAGCACCTTGATGTCCACTGCAAGAAGCAGAAATGGCCGTTTTTTGTCTGTCCGGCTCCGGCCACGGCTCCGGGACGGGCGGGACGCGCGGCCGGGCGCTCACGGTGCAGCTCCGGGTCCAGCTTGCGTAGGTTGGGCGGCACCGTGGTGATGAGGATCTTCACCGTGGCGTCGGCAGAGCTGATCTCGAAGCCGGTCTCGTTGGTCAGCATGGTCAGCACTGGGGGGAAACGCCGGGAAT